TTTATTGCAGGTATTTTACGTTATGTGCAGTACAAAAATTACAAAAAACTAATATATTACATAGTTCTGATTTTACTGCAATGTATACATCTTATTTAGTACTTTTAATTACATGGAGACTTCTATAATTGTGAAGGTGTGAAAACTGAGATATAAAAAAGTCATTGTATTCCCGAAATTAACCCACATCCTTTGAATTTAAAATAGTTACTCTATATAACCGAAAACTCAAGAAATTTAAAAAGATAACAGAAACATAAACATACAAATCCTATCTCATACAAATACTAATATTAATTGTAAAATTTGTAAGATCTTTTAAACTTTTATTTATATGTACAAGACATTCGGCAGTAGGTAGGACAAATTTTAAGCGGTGATGTTTTACAACAAAATAAAACGAAGATTAAAAATAATAAAATTGTGATTGAGATTTCTCTTTTTACTTATAAAAAGACGCGGTTTGACCCCGTACTACGCGGTTTATTGACCTGCTTTATGATGACCAGCTTATGACAAATTGTTTGGTCTTAAGAATTTTTTGAGTAATTTTTTAAGTGCTTGTAATTAAAAAAAAAGAAACTTCAATCACAATTTTGGTACTTATAATATTCGTTTTATTTTGTCGTGTAGAATTAATACTATCACCCACTTAACAGCACAGTATATGAACGGCATAGATCAATATTGACATATTCACATTACCACATGCAGTTTAAATATAAGTGTGTTCACTTATCCATAACAGCACAGCATCAACACTCTTCCGTATCGCCTCGACAGCGGTGAAATTCTCTGCATGAATATTTTGCCGATCAGGCGATGGTCGCATGCCGATTGTGTGCTATTCATACAATGCCAGTGAGGCGAAAAATTGATAGAGTTGGTTCGCCTGAATGAGTGGACAATTGAACATTGCTATTCTGATGTGCTATTAAGTGGGCAACAACATATACCCTTTCAAATTTCTCCTATCTGTTGCAGAACACTCTGTATGATATAACTAAACATTATACACCTATCCCCCGATTTACACGGTACTTTATTTACACGATTTCACTTTTACACGGTTTTCAAAATAACGGCTTTTCAGAAATATAAACTGTTAAAAATAAAAGTTTATGCTGCGCACATATTTGTACAGTCATTTTTTAGTACCGTTCGTTTGTTAACACTGGCTTTAAACCAAAAACTGAACGGGATTTCCCCCTTTTTTGCACACAAAAAGCATTCATATTGTAACGTAAAGTTTGCTGCCGCTCGCTCGAAACTAAACCCTGACCCTGAATATTTTTTGTTTTTCATTTTTATTTTATTTTTATTTTACATTTAAAATAATGAATTTAATTAAATCACGGACTAAATTATGCGCATTTTGTTTTTTCCCCGATTTACACGGTTTTTCATGCAAAAAGCCATGATTTCGATTTACACGGTATTCTGAGGAACCGATCATCCGTGTAAATCGGGGGACAGGTGTACC